TTGGCGTCAGTGATTATTTTACAAATGATATCATCAAACCTCAACGACAAGGTACTGAGACATATCCAGCTTACAGCATTTATAAAGTATTGTATATGAATGTAGAGAGTAATTTATAGATAAAAACAAAAGGTGATGATCTATAAAAACAGTAATAGGGATACATTGGAGCTGTTGCTGTGACAACCAGATTCCAGCTGTCAGTTTTCTAAGGGAAGTTAGTAAATGAAAGATCACGGCTGAATGGTTGCTATGGACAGTAGCTGTATTTTTCCTCTTCTACAGTCCTATAACTCAGCCCCAGTATGTTCCCTCAGAGCTCTCTAACAAAGCTTGAGGCACACATAAAGGTTGCTCCTTACATTTCTGTCCACACAACAGAAATGTTCTTGTGCTCTGTTCTTGTTTTACCCAACAGATGCCAAATGCACCTACAATTCCTGTTTACAACTCCCTGACCTCCAGGATTTATGAGGAAATGCTTCAAAAGTAGCTCATGTACCTTTCTGATCTTCAGGTGTCCAGCTATATGGGGCTGAGCGCTCATATGTGAACAGGCACAACTTAAAGACATGATGGCATTTTGGTTGTTGAGCGTTTTGAAAAGTTAGAGCTTCAAGCTACAAAACACTCCAGTGTGAATCAGAGTTAAAGAGTTGATTTACAAAATGAACCCTTGCAGTGGGGCTACCCCGCAATGCAATGGTTAACTGTTCGTTTTGGTCTAGGGGCCAGAATAGAGAAGATACACTCACCTGATCCTCGGTCCTGTGGCGGTCACCTCTCTCCCCCACTGCTCCAAACGTGGAAAGGCCCCTCTACGTCCTCACATCGGCTCATCTGAATGGGCTGGATTAGAAATGATGACATCAATTGGGTTTAGACCGCCAGGGCTGGGAGGATAAGAGGCTGTGGGGACCGGTCTAGGGCTGCAACAACTAATCGACATAATCGATTATAATCGATTATTGAAAAAGTTGTCAACTTTTTCAATAATCGATTAATCGGCTTCCGATCAGTTGGCCCTGTTCACAGCTCCACACGCTGTGCGCCGCACCTCCTCCCTTTTTTACTTCCACCGCTCCAAGCTTGCTCCTGTGATGGACTACAACCTCAATACAAACTAGTAGTCCCATCACTGGAGCCATTTTTTAAACTTTATTTTATTGTTTATCCGATTAATCGAACCTAATAATCGGCTAACTAATCGATTTTGAAAATAATCGTTAGCTGCAGCTCTAGACCGGTCTAGCAGCTAGATGGGTCTAAGGATCAGGTGAGTGTATTTTCTTTGAGTCCCAGCGATGGTGAACCTATGGCACACATGCCACAAAGGGCATGCAGAGGCCCCTCTGGTGGCATGCGAGCCTAGGCAGGGGCGTTGAATTTGTATCGCCACATGCAGGGCGGGTAGTTTTTTTATACATTTAGTCCTGCTTCAGGCAAGCAGGGCTAAATGTAGAGTGGGGGAGCCGCAGCTAGTTTCCGAGTGCCGAGATCACTTTGTAATTAGCCTGCTGGTCCGTCCCCCCCTCCATGGTCCACCCCCACTGCTGGCCGCCTCCCTCCCTGCCATGGTTTTCATTCCCATTCTTCTGGGGGACCCGGGTCCATGGCCGATTAGTTCAGGATGGAAAGCGGGTAGCAGAGCAGTCTGCCCCGTGTTAACAATGGGACAGAAAGGCTGTATTCACAGCCTTCCCGTCTCAGCTGCCACAGGAGATCCAGCACAGTGCTGTGCTACTCCTGTATTGGAAGTGACAGGTTCAATAAAAGAGAACCTGTCACCTCCAAATGCTATCACACAGGGGCCTATTAGCTCCTGTGTGATAGCAATAAAGTTGAGGAAAAAAATTATAAACTACACATATGAAAAAAATTAAAAAATAATAAAATAAATATTTGTTTAAAAAAAAGTAAACTATAATAAGAAATAATTAAAATTATGAAATTAAAAAAAAATCATTAAAAATGATTTAAAAAAAGTGAAATATAATAAAAGATAAGATAAAAATGTAAAAAAAAATTACAATTAAAAAAATTAAGTGATAAAAAAGTAAAAAATATCAAGAAAAAATAAAATGTTTGAATATGTATGTTTCCCTATTCTGCCTAAGGCAGTGATGCTGAACGTTTTTTAAACCCAAGTGCCCAAACTAAAACACAATACCAAACTTATTTTCAGTGATGGCATGAGATAAATTTATTTTGCGTTGCAGTTTGGGCATTCGGGCTCACAGGCATTAGCCATCACTGCCCTAGACCTAATCAAGCCGTTAACCCTTGCACTACGAGCCTTTTTAAGGCCAGACAGAGATGGCAAATACCATTCTAAAAAAAACTCATATTTTAAGATGAACTCCGGGCACAACAGGTTTCATTAAAGTTTATTCCTCAATAGCCACAAAGGATATAAATCCACTTTGTGTGTGCCAAATGCCTTTTTAAACCCAAATATCAGCTTGTAAAAGTAGCAGTGACATTATAACTGTGCAAAGTTCAGAGCTGTGGGAGGGGTCCAGCAGGCTCCACCCACAACAGGCTGCCTGCAGAAAACTACAGGAAAGCGAGGATACAAGACAAGTCCCCCTGCACAAGGAGAGAGAGCAGCAGTGACTTAATACAGGAAGTTCCTGCACAGAGGCAAAGTTTCACGCTGGATTACAACACAGGTCTGGAAGAAATACACAAAGCTCTCCGCGATCTAAGTAATAATACACCGCCCCCTTGCATTTAGACATTACTTGCTGGAGTTCAGCTTTTAGTTCGCAGTGATAGCAACTCCAAACTCATGCATCATTATGATTGGCACATGTGCAGTGAAAGGATGATTCCCTTCCATTATGGGAAATTAATAATGACCGGACTGGCCAATGGCAGATCTTTTTGACTCTGTCCATAGTTGTAGTTGGTAACATCGTTTCCCATACAAGCCAATATCAGTCACTGGTGATGCTTGAGTTGATTGTATCATTGGCAATGTGGATCCACTCTGCATGTCTTTACAAAACCGATGTATTCCAAACGTAATACTGTCCACTCTTTGTTTGGTGTACAGTATGTACATGTCCTCATTCTCAGGAAAACAGACTGCACATATAAAGTAACATAGCAATCAACGTCTGAAGTCAAAAAGCTTCAACCTACTCTCTTTGTTTCCCTGCTGACCAAGAACTCCTAAGCATCACTCCAATACACATCTATTAGATTTATGTGCAGATCAAGTTATCAGACTAAAGCCCTGTGTGCTGAACAACAGAAGTCACTTGCTTCCACCATCTGAATGGAGGAATCTTGCCTGCTGGATAATGTATTCTGACGGCCTTGTGTGCCTTCCGCTGTTAGAATACCTAAATAGCCAACAATTTTTCACCTGGCTTCTCGGACAAAAGCCGATTGGAAAATAGACCTTTGTTAAAAGGAGAACTATGAGGTGAGTGATTTTCACTCAACCTCATAGTTCGAGCCGACGTGTGACAAAATGAAGCTGTCACACGTCGGCTCAATAGATGGGGAAGTGAGCAAACGCATACCGCCGCTCGCTCCCTTTTCGATCATGTCCCTGCAGAGAACCGTGACTGTCACTCACGGCTCCCTGCAGGGATTCCTCCCACTCCCCTCTCCGATCCTTCAGCGCTGACTGGCGGAACGGACGGGGGATCCGGCGGGTACACCTGGCTCTGCCTCTAGATAGGCATAGCCAGCTGTCACTCACGCAGCTGGGTGGATCTCGACAGTAATGACGGGATCTGTGCTGACAGCAGCGGTCTCAGTATACCGCAAGCTGTAACTCGCGGTATACTGAGCTTTGGGTCACGGGAGGACACTAGTTTGTGTTCTCCCGTGACCCTTAGGAGAACTATGGGGAAAAGCACTTACCCCATAGTTCTCCTTTAAGCCAGGTGGTGCCATCATGGCCACCCATGGATCAAACTTTGCAAGTCTTTAGACTTTTTTTTCAGTACAAGGTCAGCAATGGCAGCCTTCGGATTCTACTCGTAAAAGGTTTCCTTTAAGATTCTCAAACATGCACACCCCCTGTACCTGGAAACATAGTATCCACACCGTCTGCCACCATTACAAGAGTAATCTGCAGAGAGTATAGCACTACAGCTTTTCAGAGTCTTCAGAAAAGTTCCACCAGCCCATGTCAAAGGCATACCATAAATGTCTGCGTACACTACGCATAATCCAATTAAACTGGGACGGCGCACAAATGCAAAACAGGCCAGGACCCACGGTACAATCTACCACTGGACTTCAAAGGGTCATTTCCGATCAGTATCACACAATATGACAATTAGCTCACTTCACATGCAAACGCCCTAGGCCGGGTCTAGGCAACCTCAGCACTCCAGCAGTTGTAGAACTACATGTCCCATGAGGCCCTGCAAGGCTCACAGCCACAAGCATGATTCCCACAGGCAAAGGCATGATGTGTATTGTAGTTTCACCACAGTTGGAGGTTGCCTACCCCTGCAGTAAGATAAGGATCTATATTTTAAAAACAAAAGTGACCATTTTTTTTAAAGATTTGTAATCAGTCCGCTAATACACAAATCTTTGTGAATCGAGCCCTGGATCCCTTTTACTCCGATGCGCCGGATTGAACACACCCTTGACTTATTCACATCCTAAAAGCAATTTGACTTGTTCCCAGACTTGTGTGCCAAAGAGCACAGGTCTGCTGCTGAGACACAACAAGCCCACCAGAGGGAGGTCTTTATCCCCAATCATCAATGTGCAGGTCACAAGGTCATGCTCCTAATCACCTAATCCCTAATGGAGGAATAGTACATAGGGCAGGTATTGCAGGAAAAGACTACAGCACACCCTGATATGAACAGAAGTTCAGCACATCTACTTTTCTCTCTAGATTCTAGTGGAGCATGACTGTTCAGGTGGTCTCCTTCCTCTCCCATTCAGCAGCACAGAAAAGCTGGCAGTGAATGGGAGCACGTTGGGCTGTTGTGGAGTGCACAGAGCTGTGTTTGTCCTACCTTGGTACAATGCCAGGCTGAGGAAGAGAACGATCCAACATTTCCATACACTGCAGGTGGGAGCCTGAGACCTCCTGGACAAATCCATCTTTGCCAAAACTGCGAGCCGACTGCAAGGCTTTTCATGCCTGTTGCAGCACTTCTAATGAGCCGACACTCAGCATTGCGAGTGAGAGTTGTACAACACAGGAAATGTCAGAGCCTGTACAGTGCCCAGGACATCCATACAGAGACATGGTGCACAGCGCCCCCCGGAGGACACACACCTCAGTGCACCCTGTGTGTATGTGCGAGGATTCTGACAGCAAGTGCATTGAATCGTATCATTACTAATGGGAAAGTCATTCACATCGATTTTCTTAAATAGGTAGCAGCAAAAGATTTCGATTTTTCATTCAATTTTTTCCACAGAAGATTTTTTTTTTCTATTTATTCAGCAGAAGATTTATTTTTATTCTATTTATTCAGCGGGAGATTTCTTTTTATTCTATTTATTCAGTGGGAGATTTCTTTTTATTCCATTTATTCAGCAGAAGATGTTTTTTAGTTAGAATACTCAGCAGAAGATGGATTTCCTCTGCTTGCATAATATTATCGTAAGGAAAACTGTCTATTTATAGAAATATTATTGTTTGTATGTTTTATGTATTTATTTACCTGCTGCAGCTGTACATTGAATAATATTATTAAAGTGACACTAAACTCGGCAGTTAAATCTTAAAAATACATTCAAGTACCTAAACTATTAACAGGAATGTATCTTATTTGTGTATCACTGGGCTATAGATCCTCAAATCATCTCTGAATTGGTGCTGACACTGTCCTTCCTTTTTGGGGTTGCTACTTTTGTTATCCTTGGTCCCTATGTGTGTTGTAAAGTAGGCATCGCTCCAAGCTTGATCCTGTGCACATATAGCTTACTTATTTGTTAGGAGATTGTAGTCCATCCCTGGAGTGAGGTTGGAGCCATAGCTACTTTACAACACCCTTCCGCCTCTCTCGTCCTCCTCTTTAGTAGTCTAAGGTCCTGTGTGTCATGCGGAGGGATAGTCTGTTGCTGCCGTGAAAGGGGAAGACAGGCTGGAGGGAGTGCTGTGACAGCTGGCTAGCTCCACAGTTTGGGTGAGCAGGGGCGTCCCCAGGCCGGGTGTCACCCGGAGCGGATACCGAGTGACACCCCGCCGTGACATCACCGCACATGCGCGGCCATCTTTGTGATACCTGCCGGCGGCCATCTTGAGGAGAGGACGTTCACCCGGCGCGGGATAAGTTATGCCACCAGTTTCCCTCCTCTCTCCTGCAACTGTCGGGCTCTCGGTCCATGACCGAGTGCCCGACTTTTCAGAGGGGGTGACACCAACATGACTGTTAGTCATGTTGGTGTCACCCGGGTGCGGGCCACACCACCCTTGTGACGCCACTGTGGGTGAGTATAACTTTTTTACTGTAGCACCTAGATCAAAACAAGCACTTAACCCTTGTAGTGCGGGGGTAGCTCCACTGCATGGGTTAGGAACAGTTTTGCATCTGTGATTTGATCAGGCACGGCAAAGCAACAGTGTCACTTCAAAGCAGTGTCATACACTCAGCTTCCTTTCCTGCAGTCGCTGGGAGCAAAAGGAAAGTCCTGGGTAAGCTATGAGTTGTAGCTGCCCGGAGCTATAGGTGCGCCTGTGAAACTGCTGATTGGCCAGTGCTGTCACATGGAGTAAGTTGCATGCTTCTCCATACCTAGAAGTACTGGGTATTACCAGTGATTTCCAGTGAAAGCGGAGAGGTCAATATGGGGTTCTGGGGATAGGGGAATTCAACCAAACCCATGCTGAAAGGGTTGTTCTTTAGGCAAACAGTTTTTAGGGGTTTTGAGTAGAGTAGAGAACACTATTAGGTTTTTTTATACTGTCTTGGAATTAAGAGGAAATCTTCCCAAAGCCACGGTTACTCCATTCTTAGTCTGTTGTCATGGGGGTATTTGTCCTCATTGTAAGATTTCATCTCACCTCTAGCTCTCATGATACTTATAAAATTTAGAATGTGCAATTACTTTCTGTCTCAGTGACAATGCTCACTAGGGGAAATAGAGGGGTGAATCCCCCCGTAAGGAAAGAAATGGAATTATTAGTCTGGAAGCCGGCACATCAGGAAGCCGGGCGGCGAGCCATTACCCGCTCCCAGCTTTCTGGTTGGCCAGAAAGCTGGCTCCGTACTTCCTCTTCACCTGGTAACGAGGGAGCATGGAGCCGGCTTCCCGACTAATCAGGAAGCCGGGAGGCGAGTCACTACACGCCGCCCGGTTTCCCAGCTAATTAATGGGACTTCCGGTATTGGTATTCAGTATCGGCGAGTACCGGAAAAAAATATCGGTACTCTATACCGAAAAAAACCAGTATCAGAGCATCCCTAGTATATAGACAGACAGCACCCACAGTTTTTTTTAATACCAAACTGTGACTGAATCTGCTTGGATGCAGTCACTGTCCGGCCGACAACTTTCCACCCTGCTCCTTGGATTCTTCAGGCGAGTTCGGTGGTGCTGAAAGTGCCACTCACAGCTTCAATTCCAGTCAGTTCAGCAGTAATCCAGCGACATGTAAGGCTAGTATAACCCTTTCCCACTCAATGCAAACCAAAAAAAACCCTGACTTTACATTCTCTTTAAACATACATATTCATGTCCACACACCCATCTGTAAAGTCTAAAACAACCATTCTTGCTGATAATCGGCACGTGTAAGGCCATATTGAGGAGAAGATTGTGATGTGGGCGGCTAACACAAGAGAGGAATTTTTGAAGAAGCTGTTTGTGTCCTGGCAAGAGCCCAGATTACAATTGAAGCCGTCCTTCTGCTAGTGGGCACAGTCTATCAGACAAGATGCTCTTTTAAAAGGCAATCTCTTCATCCAGTAGTCATTAACATAATTTCCACTGGTGACTTACAAGCTCTACAACTGCCTTGAATTTCAATAAGTAAACACATGGACATCATAGACGTCTCCTTGTTGTAATGCTTATAGTCACCCTTTGTCTTACGTTTCATAAATCCTTCCCTGCCTCAGTCTGACAATTTATTTCTAAATGTATTCATGGCTGTTTTAGGTGGTTGTTGATTTTTAAAAAATCTTTTTGGTTTTGAATATGCTCATATAAGAAAACATAAACATATGTCCCAGCCTCCAGACGCTGTTTGGTTTGTGTAGGTCCTAATGGTAGGTGTTGTCACACCACCTGGGACACTTAAACCCCTTTAACTAATTGCATTTTGTTAATTAAGTCAATTTAGCTGCATTTGAAAGGAACCTTTCAGCCAAAGAAACATAACAAAGAGTCTCATTTTGGCTCCACACTTCTAAGAAAGTGTACACAGAGATTTACTAATCCAGCCAGGATGAAGATGTGCAGAGTGTGAAGTGTGTGTGTATTTTTTTCACTTAGGACAAGCCAACAAAGTAATAATGTCTAGGCCTACTCTCAATAATCTTAAGGGTGGATTGAATGGTGACAGTACTATACTTGTTGCTAATGGATCTAGAACAGGGGTAGCAAGCCTCCGGCCCTCCAGCTGTGGTGAAACTACAAATCCCATGATGCATCTCTCTTTGGGAGTCATCTCTCTTCGGGAGTCATGTCTGTGGCTGTGAGAATCTTGCAATGCCTCATGGGATTTGTAGTTCCACCACAGCTGGTGGGCTGGAGGTTTGATGCTAGTGATGGGTTTGGGCGTGTTCGCAGCTCCACGTGCCGAGCTCGCCAGGAAGCTGACAGCGCGCAGCGCCAATCACAGGTACTGAGACATATTCCTGGTCCGCAGCTGCTGAGATCGGGAAATGTCTCAGTGCCTGTGATTGGTGCTGCGGGCTGTCAGCTTCCTGGCCGGCTCGGCATATGAAGCTGCGAACACGCCCGAGCCCATCACTATTTGATACCCGTGATCTAGAAAGTCTGGCCCAGACACACTAGCTTTGACCCCGAAGGGCCTGTTCACACCACTTCCACCGGGAATGCACTTGATCGCATACTCTGAAGGTTCCCTGTGTTCTGGGGCAGGAGGGGGCGTGGCAGTGCGATTTTCACACCCCCTCTGCCTGCAGGGAGTTCGCCCCCCCAGAACGTGTGGCACAGCAACGCCTGCATTCTGGTCCACTGCGATCACAAAAAAATAATACAAGCACTCCCGCCCCAGAACACAGGGAACCTTCACAGTATGTGTTCCAGTGCGTTCCAGCATGGTTAGCTTCTGGAACGCACTTGAAGTAGCGTGAACAGGCCCGGGGGCCCCTTTCAAACAGTTTGATCTGGAGGGTATCTGTGCACAGATCCTGCTAGTCCGAGCGGTACAGATCAGATGTCACTGCTGTGACATCCGTGTGCATCCTGTTTTTTCCAGTCCAGAAAGCTGAAATGACCGGACCCCATGTCCGTTTATGGTGAATCAGAGGTAAACAGACTTGTGTCCGTTTAGATCAGATTACCCCTGATCCGGCACAATCAGGTCCGGTCAAATTAACTGGGTGTAAACTTACATGGGGTATCCGATCAAGTCCGCCTGAAAAACTGGCAGGCGGACCTGATTGGACCACCTGTCTAAAAGGGGCCTAAAGCTGACCTTGCACCTTTAGATTTTTCTCGTTCAGCCCCATGAGCTAAACCAGAGAGATCAATACCCCCATCCATGCTAAAGAGTGTGGATGAAGGAATCTCCCCTGCTAGCTATTGTATTCAGCAGCTGCATGTCCCGCTGGCAGCTGATTGGGTACAGTCACTGTCCAGCTGTCAATTATCCACCCAGCTCCTTCAACAAAAGTCGACAATAATCAACTTTAGTCATGCCGGGTGGTGCCAACAGGGCCACATACAGCTCAAATTTCAGCCAATTAATGAATTTGCAAATGAATGGCAATGCAGCGCACATAGCACACGGTAACACGTGCTGTGGGATAGCATGCATTCATTGAGTGGTATCATCTAAATAAACACAGCGCTATGGTGTGAATGGGCCCTTTCACAAATTGTAAGCAGTTTATGGACAGTTTACCCTGTATGTGTGAATGGCAAAAGCTATTAATATTAAACTGCTCTTAGCCATTCTGAGACATCCTTCTGTCCCAGCCTTTTCCCTCTTTCCTGACTTTGTTGACTTCACTAGTTTATAGAGTGCCCTATAGACAGCTTCCCCTTTGGGTGGTTGGGTTGTGCTCTAGCTGAATGACATTTAGTTTTCTAAAGCACTGTGTATCATAAAAAAATTACACTTTTTAAAGTAAAGTACTTGTTTTCACCTTTTTTGTTGCGTCTCAATGCTGCTGATTTCCTGCAGCCACTGTGTGGCCACTTCCTGTCTACATGCACTCCAGTGATGGCTGCATGGCCTTCCATAGGGCACATTTTCTGATGGTGACAGTGGCCAATGCCTAAGTAATGTGTGTGTAAACTGCCACATGTAACCTAAATTGGAAGACAGGGTGACAACACAAGAGCACAATTAGGAGACGGCCAGAGCATTGTCACCCTATAACAGGAAGTGCCTGAACAAGGACCCTAGTTGCAGAGTCACCAGATAATATTTTAACGAATGCTGCAGATTTACAAACATTGAAAATGTTTTGGAAGTACATTGTTACATGTTGAAGCTTATATGTGATTTAGTGATTGGATTGACATATACGTTAAGGGTCCATTCACACTTTGTAATTTTTGTATCTCACGTTTGTTTTGAATCGGCTGCCAACACAGAAAAGTGGACCAGAAAACGGATATGCAGCATATGCAACCCAGTGCACAGTAGTGCATTATTGTGCGTTGTTGTGCACTTCCATGCATGTACATCAGAACTGCATTGCCTTAGTTCATTGGGGTGTCAATCAAAACGAATGACATCACAATCTGCGAACACAGGTTACCTCAATGCTCTGAATCACAACTGTGTGTTTCAGCCCTGTGTTGATGAACAGCTTAATGGTCAGGAATAGCGAGGGCCTGACGCACTAGACACATGCATCTCACTATCTATTAAAAGATGCAGTTTTAATGTATGTGACATTTCTTGTGACAACCCGATCAACTTGGCTTTTTACTGGAAATGAGGGGCAGCATGCCAAAAATGCAGCATGCAAAGACCCCTATAATGGATTTTCACAGAAGGATGTATTTGCCTTGGAAAATGCATGTGACTTTACATCTGCTGTGAGCAAATCCAAAACTGGGCTATTGACTCATAAAAATGTGAAAGCAGTTTACACAATGATTGCGTACATAAGATTTTCTTTCATTACATAGTTGCTCTGTCTTGGGGGTCCGGCAATCAGACAACTGTAATCTTTAAGGCAGTGTGAAGCATCACCCATGTGTCCCCTGGCAGCTGCCAGTGCTGAATGGCTATAATGTGTTTGCTGAACACATGTCAGATGATGCATGCACAGAAAACGAATGTGTTTAGTAAAAGCAGCGCACACATGGCTCAATTTGTGAGGTCATACCCAAGGATAAGGATCCTATTTTCAGCCTTTTGACTGTAATTTCTCATTGGAGTCATTGGTCTGTTTTTTTAAATAAGGATACTTATCCTGGTGTTTTAGCTTTGTGAATTTTCCTACAGTGTAGCCAGTGGATATTGCTGGCTGTCGTTGGGGTCACGTTAATAATGTCTCAAAGTCGGGCTCTGTTTCAGACATAAGTAATGATTGCCAATAAGCCAATAATAAATGTGGATGTTCAAACTTTCGAATGTAATTATTTGTAAATGTCGTAGTGCCGACCATTAGATTTTTATATACGTAAGATTATTATATAAGATACATGAAGGTTGAATTTGCTGGAAAAGTCTTCTTTAATCAAATTGACTATGTAATATATTTAATGAATGCAATATTTATTTTCATTTTCCTTTGGCAGGCAACAACAACAGTCTATGTGACCATCTTGGATGAAAATGACAATGCTCCCATGTTTGAAAGTCCACTATATGAAGTCAGGTTGGATGAAGGTCCTCTGACACTAAACTCTGTCATTATTACAACTACAGCTGTGGATCTTGATGAAGGACTTAATGGCACAGTTACCTATAACATAATAAATGGTAACCTCCAGAACACCTTTACGATCAATAATGGCACGGTAAGGACACAATGAGACTTGTTCAATGTGCAGTGTATTTCTTTGACAAGTCTTGAATAATATGCGTGTACTTTGTTGATGCTGGTCATGTAATAGAGGTCAATTACTTTCTATTTCAAAAATTGTATTGGGTTTATAGAAGTGCAGTACAAAGATCTGACATCATATATGCAGACAGGAGTCACACAAAGCTGTTACAAATTGGAAAGCATCTTTTTTTAAAGGCTTATAAACCAGACAAGGATATAAACATATAATGGTCAGGTAAAATATAAACAGTGTAGTGCATTGAGAGTGGGATTTAAAATGTGGTAGGTTGCAAAGGAGCTTTTTTCAAGGTACACTAACCCTGTTTAACACTATTGTTTTCAAGATGAAGCTGTGTGGAATTCTAGCACATAATAACATTCATAAACAACATTCTTGAGATGTGTCAATTTTGCACATTAGCAAGCCAAATAAGACATGCATGACATTTTTTTGTGTGGTTTCACTCGTGAGCCATTTCCTGAGCTAGTTTCCTTTGCCACTATAAAGACATATGCTTTTTGTTTTTATATTGAATTTGGCTAATAAGTATGCTAAATAACAAGGTACTGGCGGTCTTTGTGTAATTATTTAGGCCATGTTTTTTACTTAAGGTGTACATACACTGTTTGAATTTCAGCCAAATCCACTGTTGGCACCACCGGGTTCAGCAACAGTTTGGGTATTCAACAGCTGTCAGTCCCATTGACTGCTGGACACAGTAGCTGGCAGGAGACATTCCTTTATCCACATTAAGGGAATTGATTGTTTTCTCTCATTCAGTCTGCAGGCCTGAATGAGATACATCTAACGGTGTATGGCTAGCTTTAAGGCGCCCATACACCTTACGAATATCGACTGATTTTCGTATGCGATCGCGTTTTCGTCTGATATTCGTAAGGTTGATAGGCAGTGTACAACCACAAATACTGTACAATCGATTGACTTTTGACTAACCAGCTGGTTAGAAAACTTCGGTCGATCGTACGATTTTTGCAAGGTTGGTGGCATTTCTGTACGTCAAAATTCGTACGATCTACACTGCACATGCGCAGATGAAAATATGTGCGGTCGATTACCGCAATTTGTCCAGGTGCTTTCTTCGAATTACCGCTAATCTTGCGATAAATGGGGCAGGATGGGGCCGCCGTACAAAAATCGTAGACTGCTTTGTACACCTGGGGATGCCACTGGTCTGTTTTATGCTATTAGAAGCTGCCAGGCAGTCCCTTCAGTAGTATGACAGCTTAATAGAAGAGTAGAACACTCCATGGAAGATGGTTCAAGTTCAAAGTGTATTGTCAAATGTGCAGAGTACAAGTACCAAGTACAATGAAAGGCTTAACTGTATGCTTCCTCACAGTTTAACCCAAAAGTAAAACAAGTAAAAGTAGATGGTACTGAAGAGGAACACAGTCCTCTAGCAGCACGATTATTTGTGGTAATATTTTTAGCACTTTATTTGCATCCCCGCTTCTTAAAACATGATGCAATCACAGCCTGCAGCCTTGGCTGCCAGCCTCTAAATATAGCCCAAAAACAAACCCAATGCAAAACACACGTGCCAAGCCTCGCACCACTAAGCAGGTCTCACCTGCCATCTCTTTACTACATTATCTTGCTTCTCAGATTGCAGATGGGTCTGTCACACCTAACTGTTCCGCACCCTGTTACCTTGGTTACAGAGGAACACAAAGATGCCATACACAAGTAACACAAATTGACACTTACAAAATATACTTTAACCTTCATCACAATCATTGCCTACCTACTTAACCTCATCATTCACAGGTGCATATTAGGGCACTTAGGAGACGTTGCCATTCATTGTTGTAGGCAACTCAGAAAGATCTGGGTCTTTGTACTAAGCTTCTTTGTATTGTATTGTCACATATGATCACATGCACTACCAATTCAACAACAGTTGTCATCCTTCCATTTCCACCACCCTGGCTGTTTGCAATCCATTGGGTATTGATTATGCATGGTAGCTGTTACCCATAACATTCAGAACATGATCAAATTATCCCTTTAACCACAATCTGTCTTAGAACATGCCTATATATGGGTGATTTTTTCCCCCATACACCGATCAGCCATTACATTCTGACCACTGACAGGTTAAGTGCGCCGTAGGCAGTGTGATGCTTCGGGCAATGTTCTTCCAGGACACCTTGGGTCTTGCCATTCATGTAGATGTTACTTTGACATGTACCACCTACCTAAACATGTTGCTGACCAAGTATACCCCTTCATGGAAACGCTATTCCCTTGTGGCAGTGGCCTCTTTCAGCAGGACAATGCATCCTGACACACTGCAAAAATGGTTCAAGAATGGTTTGAGGAACACAAGTTTTAGGTGTTGACTTGGCCTCCAGATCTCAGTCCTATTGAGCATCTGTGGGATGTGCTGGAAAAACAAATCTGATCCATGGAGACCCCACATGACAACTTACAGGATTTAAAGGTTCTGCTACCAACAGCTTGGTGCCAGATACCACAGCATACATTTAGAGGTCTATTAGAGTCCATGCCTTGATGGGTCAGGGCAGTTTTGGCATCAAAAGGTGGACCTACTCAATATTAAGCTGGTGGTCATAATGTTATGGATGACTCTTTATATTATTTTTTCATGAAAATACCTAGTGGTGCTGTGATATGCTTGTAATCCTAATGCTTGGAACTGAGTGCCATATGGATAGGAGGTATTGCTTAGACGCCTAAATCTAAAGTGTATTACATTATGATCCCAGAATTGTCTGAATATCAATCTGCATAAAATATCCAAACTATTTAATTGAGAAATAAACAATCATGTGATAAGCAAGAAGGGTTTTCTTTATTTGAATCATTTCCATGAACTTTCCCTCGCTAACTAATGCTTTTGGGAATCAAAAGGGATTATTATTTAATTGGCTCAGAAAAGCATTCAATTTACTTAATGCAAGCTTGCACTGTCCTGAACTTCCTTGTAATCTTGGGTCAATGCCAAGTGTTATAGGCCCATTTATTTCATTTTTCCACTGTCAAATCTCGCATTCTTAAAGAGAGAGTCTGGAAGCATGGTAAAATATTGTCCAAGTCGTGCAGGCATGGGTGAACGTCTGCATCCGAGTCTATATGAACTCCCCTAAGGACAGCTGCTGCATGGAAGTATATACTAATGGAATGAGACGTTTTAGCTAGGTCATTGATTCACTAATTTGCTTTAATCGTTTTTATGTTATAGTTGGAATCTATTTGGGGTAATGGACTCTGGATTTGGTTGTTCAGCTTGTTCTGGTTATGCAACAGCTAAATGTGGCTTACATAAAAGATCGTTTTTTACGAGTGTACTGGATAAATAACAGTTTTTTGTTTTTTAAATGTCTTTATATTGACTGATTAGTCACAGTTGCTGCAAACCTGGCATTGATTTCCCTCTAATGGTCAATACTGCTGTTTATAGTGTTACTTGGTGTAATTCAGATTTTCATTTAATGGGATTGTTACCAAAACTTTGTCCCCGCTGTTACACATGCCATAATAAGCAATTATTTTGTTTTCCAAGCTGACATAATAAGGTAGCTGTATTGACCTGACTTATTCTCAGCTGTTTTGTTCAGTACATCTATTTTTCAGGAGCAGTGATCTAAAATCCTTAAAATACTTTTAAAGACTTTGCCAGCCACTTAACTACCTCCTTCGCATTCTCTGGTGTATATTATGGCTACTCTAGATGGTCCTGCCCGACCACCTCTTAGTCCTGCAGAACCTGTTCATTTCCTATTGCCTCTGTGTGCAGAACCTCTGCCTCTCCTTTTAGGCGTTCCTGACATTTTTATTTGAGCAGATTTAAAAGAGGATTTCCTACATTTAATGGTCCCTATGGCGATAGGGGAGAATAAATATTTTACCATGTAAAACAGTAAAAAAAAAAGGGCTTATTACATTACTTGAAAGAGTCAATAATGCAGCTTTTTGAATTATTCCCCTATATAAGAGTGGGGATGATGTTCCGGTTTGCCGCTGCCTTAAACTTAGGTCAGCTGGCTTAGAGGGCCCAATAATGGGAGCTTTGTTATATTCCGGCCCTCTCAATAAAAAAGGGTGGCTACCCAACAGCTATTTGTCATTGTGTGTTGAAATAGTTTAGGGAAAACTTGCAGTCTGTTTAGATAAGTGTTACCATAGTTTCTATTCTATGCTAAGTTACCATGGATTTCAGTGTGGGGCTACACATTTTCTGTGTACCACCCCCTCCCCCCCTCCTCCTGTTCGCAGTTTAGAGACCCAAAAGTACTTTTTAGGACTACCTTTTTGTGTGTGTAGTTGCTGTTTAGCTTCTGTCTCTCCCTCTTGCAGTCTTTTTGTATTATATTTTTTTTTAGCCATTGCAGTGGAGCTACCCCTGCACTTCAAGGCTACCCCTGCAGTTCAAGTGCTCATTTTTGCAGAGGGTCAAAAATAAAAAAGATACACTTACCTGATCTTCCAAGCTGGCCGACTGGCTCTTAGACCTGTCCCTGAAGCCTCTCTCCCTCTCCGCTGCAGCGGTCTAAGATCCCTGAGTCATGACATTCTATACACAGTGTATATCAAGTGAGTACACAGAGGGACAAACCAACACTAAAGCAGGGGAGACCGGATGGAGCATTGTGAAAGCTAACCAGCTCAGAGGATCAGGTAGTAAACTTTGTTATTTTTGACCCTAGACAAAAACGACCACTTAACCTTTGCAGTGCGGGGGTAGCCCCAATGTAAGGGTTAATAAACATTTTAACCGGAGTTGTTCTTTAAGGCCTATTTTATTTTGGGATCTGCAGCGTACTCTTGTTGCTGATACAGGCAAAGGTGCTCTTTGTTTGCAGCATATCACTGCATACTTGTGCGGTAAAGTAATATGCACCAAACCAAACCACCACATATTTATTCCCCCCCTATTTCCATAGGGACCATTAAAGGATTATTAAACCCTCGCATGTTTTTGCATATGTCTACTGCTAGCAAGCAGTAGATATATGCAAAACAAATAAAATAAAAAAATAAAAAATAAAAAGTTTTTCAAAGGGTTATACTGTGTCTTCCCTGCGCGCATCCTGTCCGAACATCTGAAAATATCTTGGGCAGCCGCAAAGGATCTTGGGGCGGGCGCATGCGCAGTTCAGATCTTCGGCCGGGAGACGAGGAGAGACACAAGGTAAGTCTATGGCACAGACTCCGTGGGACATGAGAGAAGAGGAGGACAGAGGAATCAGCGCTGTATCAGAGACCCGCACAAGCGCTGGAGGGACAGCTAAAAACTACAGGAAAGAAGAAGATCGGATTAAGAGGCATGATTTAAGGTAAGTCC